AAAAAAAAAAAAAGTTGAAAAAGAAGTCATTGCATAAACTCGACTCCTATTATAATAAAAATGATTAATAAAATAAGTCTGTATCATATAGAAACTTATGCAGACATTGCTTCCAGGCTTCCTAAATGACATCATCAATAATGTTAAACTCTACTACTCACACTCTTCTCTCAGCTATCTCAAACCACAATCCAACTTGGCTTTGGATTTTCCTCAAACATCACTGCAGACATTTATTTCGTCTAAGACCTACATAACAAGGTCTTCATAGCTGTGGATCTCTTACATGAATGATGAGAAAGGGAAATCACCATTCTGTAGCTCCTTAAAAAGGCCGTTTTAAAGCTGAGAAGAGCTAATACATTACATAAGAATAATTTTTTTAAAATATCATTCACCTTCCATGGTTTTTCTGGAATTGGTGGATCTTCAATTTCAGCATCAACATCATTACTATGGACCCAAGTATCATAACTATGAATGAAATGGAAAAAATTAAAAGCAGAATCAAAGTTCATTCATTATAAAGACTTTTACAAACAGTAACAATACATTTTACAAATACTATTAGGACCCAGTAATATCAAGTTATCAGACACTTTTGTCTTTACCACTCTGTCAAAAAAAAATCCCTCTGTAGAAGTCACCAGTAACCTTCATATCGCTAAACCCAAAGTTCAAGCCTCAGTCCAGAGAATTTTAAACAGCTGATTGCTCTTTCCTAAAAGCATTTCCCTTACTTGGCCTCTGCAACAGTACTATCTCCTGGTATTCCTTCTCGTCACTAGTCTTTCTTCAGTCTTTGTTGTCAGTTTCTAGTCTTTGTGCCAAACATCTTCAAACATTCAAAGGACCCAGAGCTCAGATTTTGTAAAAATCTTCTTCTCTCAGTGATTTCGTTCATGTCTATGACTTCAAATATATACTGACGACTTCAAATTTTTTATCTGTCCTCTTCTCTGAATTCTGAACTCAAATCCAACAGCCAATTCCACATCTCCTCTTGAACATCCAACAAGCATTCCAAACCAATACTCAAACCAAAACTTGCAATGCTACCCCAGACCCAACAATGTACTCTAGCCAATCGTTCCCATTTCAGTAAATGACAACTCCATCTTTCCAGCTCTTCAGGCCAAAATCCTTGGAAACATCCGTGATGTCACTTTCAAGCACATTCCATAATCAAACGGCAACCAGAGTGATCTTTTTGATAACTAAGTTGGGCCACATCACTCCACTGCTTAAAATCTTCTAAAAGCCCCCAGCTAATCAGAGAGAAAATCAAAATCCTAACAGTGGCTCGACAAGGTGTTAAGATCTGGTCCTATGACTACAAATCTGACCCTATCCCCTGTCTTCACTCTTTACTCATGTTATACTTGAGCCACACAGACAATACTGACAATATTCCTACATGTGCCACTGAGCCTGCATATACTTTACACATACTGCTTCCCACTGCCTAGATATCCGCATAGCTCACTTCCTCATTTCTTCACCTCTTTTTGCTCAAAGACCCTCTTACCAATGAGCTCCAACTCACTGATATAAATCACTTCACCTACCCCAACACAATGTTGAAATAAGCACAAAACTGCCTACCAAATGAAAATCTTCTTAATGTCAACATACTGACCAAGACATTATTATAAAACCAAGTAACATGTAAATGAAATGAAAATATAAAAAGTATTGGCTTCCTTTAGCCACTACTCAGAAGTCAGTTCAAAAGCATGTGAAACCAGGCCAGGCATGGTGGCTCACGCCTGTAATCCTAGCTCTCTGGGAGGCCAAGGTGGGTGGATTGTTTGAGCTCAGGAGTTCGAGACCAGCCTGAGCAAGAGCGAGACCCCGTCTCTACTAAAAATAGAAAGAAATTAATCGGACAACTAAAAATATATAGAAAAAATTAGCCGGGCATGGTGGCGCATGCCTGTAGTCCCAGCTACTCGGGAGGCTGAGGCAGTAGGATCGCTTAAGCCCAGGAGTTTGAGGTTGCTGTGAGCTAGGCTGACGCCACGGCACTCACTCTAGCCAGGGCAACAGAGTGAGACTCTGTCTCAAAAAAAAAAAAAAAAAAAAAAAAAAAAAGCATGTGAAACCAGAACAACTCTGTATCTATTATAGCACTCTGGTAAGGTTTCTAGGACACTAAAACATGAGTCAGAAAAATAGATCCTTTTCCAATTAATTAAGTATACCAAGTAAAAATTATAATAATGAAAAAAAATGATATCCTTATATTCTTCCAGTCTTAATTAGAAAACGTAAGCACAAGTCAGTGTACAGGCCATAGTTAATTTTTAAAGGTGAACAAAGCTCCTTGAGAAGACCTGAGCCAGCTACTACATCTTATTTGATACATAAGGTAAAGTTTAGTGATCAGGCTACTATATCTTATAGTATGTTATAAAAGTTCTATCACCCCTATACATGTAGCTTATCATCATAAATTTGAGTTTCCGTCTAAGTCTTTCAAAGGGCAAACTGCTTTCCCATGAATAGTTCTTGTAACATTGAAAGGTTACGGACTTGAAGCCTTAAGACCAGAGAGCTTTATAGAAAGCACTTATTCAAATGTTACTATTTAAAAAGTAAGCTGCCAGCCTGAGCAACATACTGAGACCTCATCTCTATAAAAAAAATTTAAAAATGAGCCAGCTGTGGCGGCACATGCCTACAGTCCTAGCTACCCGAGAGGCTGAGGTAGAAGAATCACTTGAGCCCAGGAGTTCAACGTTGGAGTGGGCTATGATGATGCCACTGCACTCTAGCCTGAGGAACAGAGCAAGACTCTGTCTCAAAAATATGTAAGCTGAGCACGGTGGTGAACACCTGTAGTCTCAGCTATTCAGGGGGCTGAGGCAGCAGAATCACTTGAGTTAATTTGATTTAAAGTTGTCAATTATGATTTAGAACAAGCTGATTATAAAGCTGACTTAATGTAGTTGTAATTGACTCAATCTGTATAAAAAGACAGTATAGGCTGGGTGTGGTGGCTCACACCTGTAATCCTATCATTTTACGAGGCTGAGGTGGGAATGCTGCACAACATTTTGAGACCCTGTCCTGATAAAAAAAAATTTTTTTTACATTAGCCAGGTATGGTGGCATTCAGCTGTAGTCCCAGCTACTCAGGAGACTGAGGCAGGAAGAAAATCACTTTAGCACAGGAGTCCAAGGCTGCAGTGAGTTATGATCACACCACTGCTCTTAAGCCTTAGCAGAACAGAGACCTCATCACTAAAAAATGAAAGAAAAAACTCAATAAAGAACAATGACTGGCTGGATGTGGTGGCTCACGCCTGTAATCCTAGCACTCTGGGAGGCCGAGGCAGGTGGATCGTTTGAGCTCAGGAGCTCAAGACCAGCCTGAGCAAGAGCAAGACCCCGTCTCTACCAAAAAAATAGAAAGAAATTAACTGGACAGCTAAAAATATATATAGAAAAAATTAGCCAGGCATGGTGACGCATGCCTATAGTCCCAGCTAATTGGGAGGCTGAGGCAGGAGGATCTCTTGAGCCCAGGAGTCTGACGTTGCTGCGACTAGGCTGATGCCACGGCACTCTAGCCAGGGCAACAGAGTGAGACTCTGTCTCAAAAAAAATAAAAATAAAAAAGAACAACAACTAAATAAATCAACAAAGTTGTCACTACTCAGAAAATAAAACTATATGTAAATAAGAGAGATATGCTTTGACAAAAATCATCATACCAGATCTCATAATGTATCTACATTACCTGTCTGGGTAAAAGCCCCAGTGCACTAACACCTGCTTGTCTTTTCTCATCACTGGTCTCAACCATTCTTCTGAAAAGGAAAAAGGAAAAAAAACTTTAGTCAAACTAAATTTATTTATAAATACTATTTATATAGATATATTACAAAATATACATATATACACATATACACACAGTTGTGCACCACCATGCCCAGCTAATTTTTTTGGCTTTTTTTAAATGGGATCTCGCTATGTTACTCAGGCTGGTCTTGAACTCTGGGCCTCAAATGGTCCTCCCACCTCAGCCTCCCAAAGTGCCAGGATTACAGGCATGAGCCACCATACCTGGCCAGACTGTTCATCTTCATAAGGGAAAGAAAAAAGGATATTCATCCTAATTACAGCTGATGTTGACAGAAAAAAATTTTGTCACTGATTGTTTGGTAAATTTCCCAACACCAGAAATAACTGACAGTATAAGAGATGTAAACTTACATTCTTCCTACACATACTAAATTTACACTTAGGATTTAATTTACAGAGGTATGACTAAGTGACAACAGAGAAAGGCCAATGCCATTGACAGAAGAATTTATTATTGCTTATATTTCCCAAGAGCAGGAAAAACACCACACCACGCAGGGCCACAGGAGAAACATCAGAATAGCCAGGAGGCAGAAGACAGGCATGAGGAGAGACTTAGGCCAAAGCCTTTACTGGGGTTCCCACAGGAAAGGCAACATAGGGCAGAGTAACAGTATAGGATGGGCTACGTTGCATAATTCCAGGGGACACTGGGGTTTAGATGTTGTATCTAATTCCCTGGTATCTGTCCTTGGGATGATTCAGGAAAGTGGAAATATTGGTTTGGTGTACGAGAGTTAGATAAAAAGATGGTTGAGGTTATATCCTCAAAGTGCTTGGTATAATTATGAAAGATATGCTCCTGGGTAAGTCAGTATCGTTAGGAATTAGCTAACCCTCAAAAGGGAAATATCTCTGCAGGCCTCAAAATGCCAGAGCAACAAGAATACAGATAATAAGAATATACAGTTAATATAATAACAATAATTTACTGTATAATTTAAAATAGGTACAAAAGAAAAATTTAAATGTTTCTAAAATAAAATGTTTGAGGTGATGGATATCCCCAAAACCCTCGTTTGATCACTACACATGAATCAAAATATCACACATACCCACCCCCCACCCAAAATAGGAGCAATTGTATATCAATAAAAAAAATAATAAGGCTAAGCATGATGGCTCATGCCTGCAATCCTAGCACTCTGGAAGGCCAAGGCAGAAGGACTGCTTGAATACAGGGATTCAAGACCAGTGGCTCATGCCTGTATAATCCTAGCACTCTGGGAGGCCGAGGTGGGAGGATAGCTTGAGCTCAGGAGTTCAAGACCCCCACCTGAGCAACAGCGAGACCCCCATCTCTACTAAAAATAGAAAGAAATTAGCCAAACAACTAAAAACAGAAAAAATTAGCTGGGCATGGTGGCGCATGCCTGTAGTCTCAGCTACCCGGGGGCCTGAGGCAGGAGGATTGCTTGAGCCCAGGAGTTTGAGATTGCTATGAGCGAGGCTGACACCATAGCACTCTAGCCTAGGCAAGAGAGTGAGACTCCATCTCAAAAAAAAAAGACCAGTCTGAGCAATAGAGCAACACGCCGTCTTCACAAAAATTAAAAAACAGCCAGGCACGGATGTTCACTCCTATGGTCCCAGTTACTCTGGAGGCTGAATTAGGTTTAGGCTGTTTTACTCTTCTTCTAATTAATATCTTTCTCTTTTTTTTTTTTTTTTTTTTTTTAAAGAGATAGCATCTTACTGTGTTCCCCAAGCTGGGGTGCAGTGGCTATTCCCAGGTACATTCATCACACCCCACTACAACCTCAAAGTCCTGGCTTCAGGCAATCCTCCCAATTTAGCCTCCAGGGTAGGTGGGAATACAGGCACATGCCACTGCATCAAGCTTTAATAACCTTACTACTCTCTTCTAAGAACCATTTCTGACATTGCTGAGCATTCTCACTATCGTGTGTGGGCGTGCACACATATACAGAAACCACAGGGTCTTGCTCTGTCACCCAGGACGGAGTGGAGTAGCACAATCACAGCTCACTGTAGCCTTGAACTCCTGGGCTCAAACTATACTCCCGCCTCAGCCTCCCAAGTAGCTGGGACTACAGCATGTGCCACCATACCCAGCTAATTTTTCCTATTTTTTTAGTTGTCTGGCTAATTTCTTTTTTATTTTTAGTAGAGACGGGGTCTCGCTCTTGCTCAGGCTAGTCTTGAACTCCTGACTTCAAGCGACCCTCCCACCTTGGCCTCCCAGAGTGCTAGGATTATAGGTGTGAGCCACCCCACCTGGCCTTGTCTGTTTTTTTGATACTGACTTGTACCACAACTGTGCATTGCTAGTCAGGACAAAATACTCAGTAGGAGATAATTAGCCACTGAAATTTTGATATAATTTGGCTTATCATATAGAAATCCTACAGGAATAGGTTGTG